AGTGGCGAAAATTCAAACGAGTCAGTAAGTCAGACAGTCAGTCAGTCATAGTGTAAACTTTACGGGGGGTAGGTTGATTTATGCGTTGTCGTGTCCCTGCTGACGGGAACGAAGTGTCAACCAGACAGGCAAACCAAATATGCTCTACTTTGTGCGGTGTAAAATTTATTTAATAACCAGTCGGTGAAAACTATAAAAAGCGATTGCAAGATAGCTATAATATTCACATATGAGATGGAATATAGACAAGACAAACAAACGTATAACAAACATAAACCACGGTAGCTTACATCTTTGCTAGGACTAGACGAATAAGTTCTCCAACTCCGCATACAATATTCCCCGTTTCCCCGATAAAGTTTGCTTGAAGGATAGTGACTAACGTTCGGTAGCGTTAAAACAAGAGTAAAGTCAATGCATTTTAGGGCGTTTTATAGCATCGCCCCCGCGTCCATAAAGTAATTAACATGCTAATTACCTAGTCGTGACACTCCTCGTCCAAGAATAAGCTAAAGTTTGTTCTTGCTATTATTACTTATAGAATTTGTTCATGTACTCATTAAATATACCAATTGGTTAATTGGTCTCAGATATGATTTCTTTTCCCCATCTTTCCAACTTACGATTCTTGCTTTTCGAACTAGTCGGTCATTTTCACTTGTGATTGCATCAACCACCCTTCCAAGAGACCATTCACTACGATGTGTCTCATCTTTAATCAAGACGATATCTCCTACGGCTAAATTTCGATTACGTTCGTTCCATTTTGATCTCCTTTGTTGGTTTTGTAGATATTCACTCTTCCATCGAGACCAAAATTGGTCAGCTAAATACTGTGCTCTTCTCCAGTGTCTACGGGAATATAGGTCGAGGGAAGTGAAAACTCCAGGTGGTGAAATAAGTGGTCTTGTCTTCATTGTTAGTAGCATGTTTGGGGTTAAGGGTTGAGGTTGATCTGCGTCGGATGGCACAGTAGAAATAGGACGTGAGTTCACAATTCCTGTTACTTCTGCCATAAGAGTGACCAAGAGCTCATGTGTAATTTGGGAAGGTCCGAGATCTATAAACATTCCATCAAGGACTCGTCTAATAGTGTTAATTGTCTCTCCCATATTCCACCAAAATGTGAAGCATGTGGGGGGTTGAAAATCCATTCGCAATTTTGCTCCGCAGTGTACTTCGCTATCATCTTCTGATTCATCTCTTGCATCTGATTTTGCTCCAGTGAAATTCGTTCCCCGATCACACCTCAGAAGCGACGGTGGTCCACGAATGGCGAAGAATCTTCGAAGGGCGCAAATAAAGGAACTAGCCGATTCCATGGTCTCCAAAACTTCGATATGGATCGCTCGACTGTTCAGACAAGTGAAAACCAAACCCCATCTTTTTGAGTTTGCGGCCCCTCCTCTTAGCCTTGCTGTACGTATCTGCCACGGTCCGAATACGTCGAAACCAACATTTGTGAATGGTGGTGGTGTTTCTAGTCTGTCGGAAGGTAGGTTAGCCATATGCTGGGTCATTAATTTCCCTCTGAGTTTTCTGCACGTTATACATTGACTGATGAGTTTTGAAACCAGTCTCTTTGCCCCGACAATCCAACAACCTGCTTGTCTTACAGCGCTATGGGTGATCTGTCTTCCTTGGTGGTAAACTTTCTTATGATGATGCATTATGGCCAGCTTTGCTAAATGACATCCTTTCGGTATTAGAGCGGGTTGTTTTTCTTGAAACATCTGGTCCGCCTGTTTCAATCGGCCTCCAACACGAAGAACTCCATCATCATCGAGAAATGGATCTAAAGCATACAAGTTGGATTTTGGTGAAACTGTATCCTGAGACGATTGGAGGGTAGTGATTTCTTCAGCATACGCTTCTCCTTGGACGGTTTTGATCATCACCATCTCGCTCTGCCTTGATTCTGCGACAGAAGGATTTCTTAGCTGTTGTACAACTGATGGTAGGGTTGACTGGTCTTGGGCAGTCTTTTGGTTTCCAGATGGTGAATTTTGGCTTCGAGTCTTCGTAGATTTCACTTTAATTAGAAGGTTGGTTATCGCTCTTCTAAGAGAAATCCAGCTAGAAAACTTGGTGAATCTGTCCGAGCCCAAACCTCTAATTTTGCACAGTTCTGTGGTGTAAATGTTGGTGTTTACTCGAATCTCTGGATCTTTGTCGTCGATTGGATATTCTTCAGGATTGATTTCTTGGTGAACGATTTCCGATGGGTTTATATTCTTCAAAAATTCTGGGCCTTCAAACCATGTTGACTCCATTAAGTGCTTAGCTGTTTTCCCTCTTGTTGCTATATCAGCTGGGTTTTCGGTAGATTCAACATATCTCCAATGGGAGGGCTCTGTGATGTTTCGGATGATTTGTATATTACCCATAGTTTATGACATTTTATAACCATTTTAGATTTCATGACGAAGTACTGCAAGTATAGAAGTTTTTTTCCTCATCCAAGGTACAATAGGCCAGTTGAAGCAACTGTTTTCAGATAAAATATTCGCTGTATTTACTAAAAGCTCTATACAAGAAAGATTGGGGATAGACCAAAATGTACCAATGGTCCTTTCATGTACGGATGAAATAAATGGTCGCAATGTGAGAAATACAGACACAGGAAGACAAATTTTAAAACACAATTGTCTCGTGCTATATGCCATTCCACCGAGTTCGATCTCCAATTAAAAAACATATTTAAAAATTTATTTTGCTCTCACTGAGTAAAATCTTAAGTGGTCATAATCGAGAGACCCCGTTCCAATGTTTCGCCTCAGGACATACGGCATAAATATGACAATTAACAAATTCTTATGTTCATTCGATTTCGTCTGAATTGCGGAATATAGCCCATAATTTTATAACTTTTCATAACCTTTTTAGATTTCATGACGAAATGCTGAAAATATAGAAGCTTTTTGTTTTCTTCCAAGGTAATAAAAGTTTTTCTATATTTACTATAAGCTACATACAACGAAGATTAGCGATAGACCATGCAAAACGTACGAATGGTCCTTTCATTTGGAGATGAAATATTTGGTTCCAATGTGAGAAATCTAGCCACGTGAAGACAAATTTAAAAACACGATTGTCTCGTCCTATATGGAAATCCACCGAGTTCTCCAATTAAAAAGTATGTCGAAATTTATTCATGTTCTCACTGAATAAAATCTTAAGTGGTCATGATCGAGACGCCCCGTTCCAATGTTTATAGCCTCCGGATATGCGGTATTAATTTGACAATTAACAAATTATTCTGTTAATTCATTCGATCGCGTCTGAATTACGGAATTTTTAGCGCATAATTGAGACATTTTTTAACCTTTTTAGATTTCATGACCACATGCTTCAAATATAGAAGATTTTTGGCCTCTTCCAAGGTAAAAATTAATAAGCTAAATTACTTCACAATTTTCGTTAATTAAGGGCCCATTAAGCAATTTTTATGTCATGCCTATGTTTTTTACCAACAAACATGCATTTTATTGCCACATATATAAAATTGTACCATTAATATAATACTTTAACAAATGTAATAATTTTTCATCGTGTTCCGTTACATTTCTCTACGTTTAATCGTGATAAAAGAACTTGACGAAGTGGTAGTCTATTAAAAACTGTACTTATTAATCGTCTGCATTCCAAACATTCCCGCTCAAGACAATCTTATGCAAAATTAACGAGACACCACATATTCCCACACCCTGTTTCAATGTTGGGTAGTGATGGTTTTCACTATTCGAGGTGTTAGTCTTCATTAACTGTTAAAATACAACATTGGGATAGGGGGAAGGGGGATCAACATTGAAAACTCATGGTGGCACATATTATATTGCATGGGATTGTAGGTAAATCAACTAAGTCGACTACTCAGATTCCCTATATTTATAGCATCACGTACGCAAAGCATTCTGGTCAGTTAACAGCAGTGCACAGTGGTGCATTCTGGTCGGTTAACAGCAATTCATTCTGGTCCGAAAAACGGAAGTAAAATCTTACTTTCAGAGCCCTGTACGAATTAGAATTGCTGACTTGCTCGCTCGCTTCAGGCTCGCTCGCTGCGTCAGCAACAACAGGCTACAAGACTGCGAGAATACAGTAATATCGTGAAATCTTTCTAACCTGTACTCGTAATAATAGCTGGATTACTGAGTATCCTTCCAGCAACATTCGTGGCTTCCCATCTATAACTTCCTTCGTCATCTTTCTTAAAATGCTTAACAATCAATTTTTGTGAGCGTTCCTCGAGCAAAACTCGAGTTCCGTCAACATCAACATTTCTCTCATCCTTTAACCATCGTAATTTAGGTCTAGGCTTCGCACGAGGTGGATTGCAAGTTCATGTCAATTGTCCTCCACGAGAAATAGTTTGACTGACAGGATGACGACGAAATTCTTTACGGATGTCTTTAAATTGGAATAAAAAATAACAATACGTAACTGTGACGTTGATTGCACGATTTCAACAATAAGGACATTGATGACATTTTTTGGAGAAAGAAAATAACTAAAACTTCAAATAATTTTCGGGTGTTTTTGAGGCCAAAAGTAGTGGAATGATAAGACTCGATCTTCAGATGCAATATACAGATTTCATTCAAGTAGTTTCATTACCACCTCATCCTAAAGAGGACTTAGGTAGACAATTGTCAAACAATAATTAACGACAAGTCTAAGAAGAATTTAACGTGACATTAGTGATTCTATAGAATTTTCACAATTATCTATATTTCTATTTCAATAATATAACCAGGTCATCTGGTTTTAATGCGTTTTAAATAAATAAATAAAATACTTTTTGAAAAACGTTCTCTGATTGAAATACTAATTTATCACAAGCTTTTGGCTATAGTCCTCAACGTCAGTCTATATCTGTCTATAGCCTTCAACGGGTGGAATACAAATGTGAAAAGGACGCTAACAATGAAATATGAAACTACATGTGTGTGAAATGTGGTATAACAACTGCTTAAAATAGACAAAACACTTCTCGACGTTTCGACCTAAGGTGACGAAGGCCCTCAGGATTGATGCCATTATGCTGGCCTGTGATGGAAACTATTCTTTTGTAAGTTCTCCATCTTTTAAGCTATATCCTCACGTCATTGCATATGTTCTGGTTCTGGACTTTGTTACCACATGATGTTGAAATTCATGTTTATGATTATCGATTATGTCCCGTACGAAACCAGTTGTCCTTTTGAGCTCTCAGAGGCAAGATGTTTTCATATATGAGAGCAATAATTACTTGCGGACAAGATAGTTGTTGATCTTTGAGAAAAGCCTCAAAGATGTTAAAAGTGCTCTACCTACGCGGAATACTATTAAAGCATGAAAGTCGATGTAAACATTTACACGTGCTGAGTCCAAGCGGCAGCACTGTTGACAAGGTATGCGGATATTACAGTGGTTACAGTGTTCATTGTGTTACGTCTGTGTCCACTTTTCGTATACATAGGTTGGTCAAAACCAAGGTGGTCTCTTTGGCTTTATGCAAAAATCTTTGTCGAACGTGCAAGATCATATTTGGTTTGAAAGATCTGAAATGAAGGACCGGTTAACCGTGGCGAAGAGGTAGATTTTTGTTTAGGGGAATGCTACCCAGGGTAGTGGCTCTTTGTAGAGAAGGGCTGGATATCGATCGGAGGGTTATATTTTGGGGCACGGAAAATAATCTCCCCATCCATCTTTAATTCAAAATATTCAACTTTTAGGCTGCGAGAACATGTTGAAGATCCGAACAAAGATCCCATGCTTATATTTCCAGAAGGTACGAAGAATCCTGTGCTTCAGTTTATTAACCAAATTCCATCAAACGGTCTAAAAATTTGACTGTAATGCGTTTTCCAGGAACTTGCATCAATAACACCTCCGTTATGATGTTCAAGAAAGGCAGTTTTGAAATCGGCGGAACGATTTATCCTGTTGCAATAAAGGTACGAAAAAAGTAATTTACTATTATATAAAATGAGGCCACTTTTCTGTTGGCAGACAGTATTGAATAATTTTACCCTCGTTGTACAGTAATTTCATGTAAAATGTACTAAAAAGAAATGTAGTGCCCACTTTACCGCGGTCTTCTTTCTCATTCTGTTGCACGTGTAGTATGACCCGCTTTTTTCGAACGCATTCTGGAATTCAAGTCAATATTCTATGGTTCATTACTTACTGGATATTATGTCAAGTTGGGCGTTGGTCTGTGACGTTTGGTACCTCCCCCCCGTGACAAGACACGAAAATGAAACTGCTATTCAGTTTGCGAACAGAGTAAAAGCTGATATCGCAAGACAGGGGGGACTGGTCGATTTAATATGGTACGTGATTTGCTCGATGTTCTGTCCTGCATCACAATACACACTACTAATCCATAAAGTTGAAGGATTTTGTTATAGAAAAGTCTTTTTTGCTCAATTGGTGTCTTGAATTTAAGATGAATGCCTGCAGAGTTTGTTCCCTCTGCTGCATTCATTAGATCAAATGTGGTAGAACAACTATTTAAAAAAAACTTAAAGAGTTAGTAATGTTAAGCTGTATTCGACAACGAGCTGATTAATAGATCACTTTTTTCTCTCCACAGGGATGGTCAGCTGAAGAGGACGAAGGTAAAACCTGAACTAAGGCAACAGAAACAGGAAGACTTCGCCCAAATGCTCAAAATTGATTAATAAAAATGAAGGTAACACTAAATATAACAATTCCTGGCTTCGTAGACCGTCGGGGACCTTCGGAGGGGCCTGGGTAAGCTAAGTTTTAACGTAGTTTTCATCAGGTGAATCAAATCTGTGATTGCATACCTAACAGCGCCTCAGCTTAACTTTGAAGAAGCTCCTTCACAGTCGAGCAATTAATATTCCTTGACAAATTTCATATCAAATTTTATTTCCTTGCTGTCGCGAAGATTTCATGGGAATTGATTGAAGGCATCGAATAAATGTGGTTGAAAGTGTTTGAAGCCAGAGGTGATACTCGAACAAAAATCATAAACAACTCTTTTAGTTTTAAACATGAACCAAAGCAGTGGTGAAATGTGCAACTATTTGCGGCAGGAATCGAAAAGCTTGTTTATGTCCATGGAGCCAACTTTAAGGTGGTTATGCGAAGTAATAAAAGATTTAAAGTTTTTCTACGAAGGTGTGAGCAAATGTTAAGGCCCGTGCATTTACACTATGCGATTTGTCGTATACGATTCGTACCCTGGCGTATGTGAACGTGTGAACACACGTACAAATGTCACACTTTAAATTCTAACCTGAACAAAATTGAATGAAGATTGTGGCATAGGCACTCTTTTGCATTTGTCAGAATGATAATTGCATACAACTTATCGTGTAGTCTAAATAGGCCTTTACACACTGGACTATTTCATATCAGTTTCTATGACGTGATCACGACAGCGGTGATTGATTCAAATTTTTTTGATATCAACGAAAGCAAACGTATTACCCAAAAATTTTTACCCATCATGCAAACGTAGGTGTAATCAATTTGAAAAATTGCTTTTATAGTATATTAACAATCATACCCCAGGATACTTGTTCTGTCCAGTGTTCGCAGAGCGAATATCCTGGGAACTAGGTACAATTCTATATTATAGAAATTATAGCACAAGAGAACATTGACATAATATAATAATTTAAGTGTAGCTATAATTGTAATAATAGACGTTTTCTACATGATGGCTCAAATGCATTGTCAAGATGTTTATCATGATTTTTAAAGCTTTAGAGAATCAGGGGTGATATTCATTTATCACGTACATTTTCACTACCCTAAATAATTCTTGAACATAAAGCGTTTTGACTTTAGGAATACCAACGTTTAAATAGATATACTTAATTTATTAATCTTCCTTAATGTTTATCTTCCTTTTCCAACCTCAGCATATTTTGAGTCCAGTAATATGATCTAAATATAACTTGAAATTCGGGATTAAGATAGCTTCGTAATTGCACTGGGTGTTTGCGAACTTTGAGTCTTAATTGAATTCCAATTGAACTAATAAACAGTCACGCCTTCTAATTATTTCGATTGAAATCCCAGGTATCAAGGTTGCGCAAACAAAGTCCACGTCTTTGCAAAGCAATTGTTGATGAATTAGAAAGAGGATCAAGTTGGTATTAACGTGTAATTCGTCTTAATCGCATTTTAGAAGCACATTTTCAGTGATTAACCTGTTCCAGAAGCTAAAGAGCTTCCACAGGAAACACATGGACATAGCTGTCAATAGGCATGCGCAGAGCTTACGTGCTGTAGGTTGCATCAAGCGACATCTACGTGAAATATTTTGGTAGTCTTGTCAGTACAAAGAGTCTTCAGCAAAATGGACTTGGACTGTTTGTAAAAATCATCTTTTTACAAGTAACTGCATTGGCCAAGACACCCTAATTTGGCATGGTTCCTTTCAACCTGTTATGAACAAGTAGCAGTGTATTTGTTTTTGATCAATATTTTTACAGGAACACCCAATTGAGCAAGGTTAGTTTGACAGGAGTTCAACACAATAGAAAAAGTACAAATACTGTTACAAATTAGCAGTATCTACTCTTGCCACAATAGAACTTCTGAGGATACATCAAGTTGTTTTCCAGTGTTTATTTTATTTTAAAAAATACAAAATGTTTGGTCAAATTTAGCAATACACTTCTTTCAGCCTGTGTTTTAATCAAGATCTATCATGAAAGAGTCAGGCAAGCCAAGGTCAAATGGTTTCATTTTGTACAGTTTATATTACAGTGCTCATATTCTACACCAGTCACTCAAAGATAATCCTGGAAACGCTATACTCTTTCCAAAGCCTCCATTATTACTATGCTATTACCACGAATAACCTGGAAATGAGAAGAAAATGAGGTCATGTACAGTATGTATGTAAGGAGAGGGTTGAAAGCCTCGTGAATAAACCTGGATTGCACATCATGCGATGCTTAAAATCTACAGTGCTGAGAATGTGGCTCGTGTTTTTATACTTCACTGAATTATATACGGATTTGGAGTGACAAATCCAGCCAATCAGAGCAATGAATCTGGACAAACAAGATGGCAGCAAGATTTATTCTTATCGATAATTTGAACTTATTTTATATCTTACCACCATGCCAATATTATGTTTCTCACTAGATGAGACGTTCTCAACGGCCTCATCGAGAACGATGTTCATGAACGGATCAAATGGGGCTCGAAGAACCCCAGTTACGTGTCGACCACCATTGATCTTAACTAGAAAATCACAATACATTAGCTCAGCTGTCGTTAGATCAAATCTATATTTTTTTTCCTAGAAGCTTTGTTTTGAGATGATGCAGGTAATCTCGATTGAATATTTACTTGATAATTTCTTGTCCATGTACCTGAAAAGAGGATTTACAATCTTTTAGCGCGTATCCAGGGAAGTATATCATAATGCATTCGGATGGAGTCGTGCGTCAAAAGACCTCTTTTCTATGGCAAATATCTCGCTTCAGGTAAAGCGCTTTTTGTGAATATATACATCAAAAGTGATATAGGATAAAGGTAATATACATACTTTTTCAGCTCGGGTGGATGGGCCTTGCTCATCGCGATACAATTTAGATTAAGTTTATAAAATTTTCTTTCAAATTGTCAAATATTACCAGAGAAGAACTCATCAACATTCGAACGTCGCGGCCTTTGTGCGCCAGCGCTACTTAGGTCATCTGTGTGGTGATACGTCATGTCATGTGAAGGTATGTTGCATCAAAAATCCTGGAAATCATGGCTTATTTTACTCGGAAAAAAAGTATTCAAGCATTTTCAAGGCCGTTATTTATCGTCAAATCTATGGAACTAATGTGCAACAAGATGTTCGTATGGTTAGAACAATGATCGAGTCTAGCAGAAAATTTGAAAAAGTCAGTGAAATTGATTCAAAGGCACCAATTGTATATATTGGTGAACGACTGTATACCAACTACTACAGAACTTCCATTGATTTAACGCATGTGAAAAGAAGGCCAAGGATTGTCTACAATGTACGAAACACCCAACGCACTCAGCAACGAGATTAAGACAGAAGAAATGCTAGTTTACGAATGTCCAATCGAACAGGAGACATTTTGCAAACTTCAAGGAACGTTCTACGTTCATGGTCCGTATTCCGTCGGGGTAACGGCGACAATTACTTGAAAGTTTTCGACTTCAACACTGGAGAAAGTTTGAAGCAAATTTATTTATACCCAGTCGAAAATTCAAGTATTTGCACTGGGAGACAGACCTTGAGAGGCTTGTGGTGCAAGTCTACTCTATTACCACAAGGAAGTAGTGCGCATGTCACGCAGCGTACTCCACCACAGTCGGACCCAGTCTTGTTATACATTGCTATTTTTACCATGACTCCACTAGAGTTCATATGCATGCTACCAATATCTCAAAAGATCTTTGGTAAGGGCATTTGCAATGCTGTGGTTCGTGATGGTATGCTAGTGGTAATGTATCAAAGGCAAAAACTCCAATTTTTCAGTCTGGAAGATATCCTGAAGAACCATACATGCCATTGAAGGTGGGCGAGCAGATACAACCTGGAAACAATTTGTGTTTGCCTGAAATAGATGACCAATTTGCTGGCGGTATTGTTGGGATGCTCCACTTGGGTTACCGGTTAATGTTTCACTGTTTGAGAAACCACCTGTGCTACTTGAGGTGAAAAGCAGTGATCATGAATTAAGTTTTGGTGGATTTCCATGGCATTATGTGTCAAACATTAATTATGTATTTCAAGTTCATTCAGTCAGAGATCATACTTTGGCAGAGAATGGTATCCTCAACATTGATGATGCCATATTTTGGTACAGAAAGGCATTTTTCATCCAGATATGCGGACGGGTATTATTCATAGCACCACCATATCTTCGGTGAGTACACTGGAATATAATTGCGATTTTTTGCAAGGAGTAAGAAGCATTAGAAATTATAATAATATTAATGAATCGATTTACTGGGTGGGTGTAAGGTGCTGAACACCCCCTCTGGTCCAGGGAGTGAAGGAGGGGTACAAATTTGGGTGTCAACCAAGTTGTAGGTTTTAGGGTATTTGGAAGTTTAAGTTTTCTTTGATAATCTGTGTGTAGCACATTATGGTCCCATTTTTGTAATTTTTTGAATAAGTATACATTCTAATATCTTTGAATAGCTGGCATTTGTACCCAACCTATATGCTTGCAAACTGGTCTGCACCTCTCCCTCTACAAAATTTGGATCCATCCCTGACTATATATTGTGTTTTAATTTAGATGTATAAAGTTAAGGCGTTTAAACTCCTCTGACAGAAACTCAGCAGTCAAAGCAGAAGAGCAGTTTACCCTCAACTTCTCCCAGAAACCAAAACGTCCACCATTGTCCAAACTAAATCTGGGCGAAAAATTAAGAATTTGTTTAAGGGTGACCTGAAATATCTGGAGATGGAGATTGTTCAAGATTTTGACTATGATTATGAGCTGATCTGCTGGTGGTTCTTTACCTTAACTTACAAAGCAAGGAGAGGGTGTTGTTGGTTTCTATGACAATCAAACAGGACGACACATACAGGAAGTAGGTGTTGAAGATATTGAGGAGGATTACGAGCACACAGTTGCAATAAACAGAGATGTATTGATTGTTTTGTCTCGAAAGAAACAAAACTTCAGATGTTTGGTTTATGTTCTGAATACAACCTAAGTATTCAAGATGTTTTGTAAAAATGC